GAATTTATGGGGGACACCTTTGCTCCACAGACACTGCCATAGTGCTTGGCGGTCCACAGAGTCAAAGGCCGCTTTCAGATCAAGAAAAACAACCTTTGTTGGTTGCTGGAAGCAGTGTCACTTTTCCAGAATCTGTCGGAGGGTGAAGATATGGTCAATGCAAACTCTTGCAGGACGGAACCCAGCTTGGTTTTCACGGATCTGCCTCTCCCTGTGTTCAGTCAACCTTCGAAGGATAAGGCCAGAGAGCACCTTTGATGCCACAGCTAACAGGCTGATGCCACGGTGGTTTTCGCATAGCGTCCGTGTACCATTTTTGAAGATAGGGATAACAGTCGACATGCTCCATTCTGCAGGCACTTGCACTTCGTCCCACATAGTACCAATAAGTTTTGTCAAGTGGGTCACCAGGGAATTTCCGCCTTCTTGGAAGAGGGCTGGATACAGACCGTCCGGTCCTGGTGCCTTCTCACGTTTCATTGCGGCTACTTCGTACCTTATTTCTTCTTCCGAAGGGCGATCAAGGTTTACATTCCATTCGCCCGTATGCATTATCTCCACCGGCTGTGTTGCAGGAGGCCAGCTGAACTGCTCTTCGAAGTATTCGGCCCATCTCTCCAGTCGACGTGTTTGCAAGTGAATTAATGAGCCATCTTTTTCACTTATCGTTTCGCTGACCGTTGCTTTCCTAGGGCCAGTCGATCGTATCAGTTGATAAAGGACACGACTGTTTCCCGTAGCAAAAGCCTTCTCCATCTTCCGAGCTTTCGATGTCCACCAGAGCTCTCGGTCTTTCCTTAGACTCTTCACTATTTGGCGTTTGAGGGATTTGCGTGCGCCGTCGTACTCGTTGCCTGCTGGTATGGCTTTCCTGGCATCAATCATGGATAACGACCTCGACGACATCCAGTGGTCCTGTGGTCGAATTGGAGAAGTCGGGCAGGCAGCACTGAACGCCGCTAGTATAGCTCCTTTCACATTTTGCCATGCTTCATCCACATGCTCACTGCCACCACAGTACTGTTTTACTGTGAAGAGTTGTTGGGCTAGCCCAGATCGATACTGTTGAGCTATGGCAGTTCTTCGAAGCTGGTGGATTGGCATGCTTCTTGCCGACTTGCGAGGGGACAGCAAGTCCAACTGTTAGCCTACTGAAAAAATCCCCACGCTACGCACATCTTGGATGCTTCTTCACTGAGAATAAATGGGAAGCATGGTAAAACAATTGGTCACCATCTGTGCCATGAAGCCAGTTAAGATCGTTTAATAGAGGTTATTGCTGCATGGCGGTGAATTGGTAACAAGGGTTACAAAAAGTGTTGAAATCTCGATCACGGAAACAACTGTAAGTGCAACGGCATAAAAAATTCGACTCACAATCTTTGACTATCCGAATACGGTAACCAAAGTATCGCTAACCCTACCAAAACCACAACTGGCAGTAATGAAAGAGTAGACTTACTGTCTCAGCTGAAGTCGTTTGAGTTGGAATTCATGTGAATTTTGCGAGGAAAGAACCTTGTTTAACAAAGTCACTGAACGGCCTCCACGAAGTTGTGTCACGTTTTCTTTCGAAAGCTCCCATTCGAAAGATTCTGTGTCCAGTTCCATGTGAACCAGCAGAGAAGTATGTGTCAAGCTGTGCGGGCACTCGGAATTACAGTCTAAAATGATTTGAAAAAGTGATGATGAAGAAAGCTGTGTGACGGTAGACACCACTGTTTCATATAGTGCATTATGGAAAGGTTGCGCTAGGACACCACGTTGTTTCGTTAGTCAGCAACCCAAGTCATGCAGCAGTACTAAACGAGAGCGAGGCCACCAAACTCGGCCTCGATCGTGCTCTCCACATTTTAGAAACACCAACCGAACGTCCGCAGTGGGAGACACCGGTGTGACAACGGTGCAGACGCTCGAATATCTCGGTCCCCGCATGGTATCAAAAGGTTCAGCAAAAAGACCAAGTAAGAATACGCATGGAGAAGCCCGAAAACCATTTCCACTACTGAAGAACGCCTTGTCATATAGGCGTCAAGAGCGAAATCTGGCTCTATTAGGGCCGTGTCCGTCCCGTAATTCCTTAGGGCAGGAGGTCTGGTGGTTACGGTGCAAATGTGATCCCGCTGCACACCCTGTTCGCTATTCCAAAGGGAAAAAAAGGAATAGCTGAGTGAAAAAATATTTCACGAAGAAACATGATTGAGTTAGCTGTACGCCGATCCTGTTCGATTATGTACGGCTGTGGCTGGCTGAAAACTAAGGGAAATTGCCTGGAATCGTTCCCAGTAGCACCGATGTTGTTGGGCGCTATTGAGTAGCAAAAACTATGTGGAAGAATGACGCTACCCAATAAATCTACCTGCAAATAATCGTGAGAGTTTAGCTGTGGCCCTGCATCCTAGATGCTGCAATTTAGCACATGTACCACACTGAAGAGCTAAACCTTCCTCTACGATAGTACCGTCGCATTCGGCCCACTCAACTTCCTCGCCGGTAGAGGGTGATGTTCTGCTCGTTGTCTGCGTGATAAATCCGGTTGACAAGCCCGTACGGTCATTTTGCATAGATGGCTGGGTGGATAGAGCACGAATTTACTGACCGGATGGTGCGTGATTCGAAGCCCTTGTGCTTCCTTCGCGTGGTATGAAAGCTAGGCATCGAAAGCGTTTTGCAGCTGAACGATCATTCCACCGCAGAGACTGAACCTTCCTGCAGTGTGACGGTTCGCGGAACACTGCGACTCACTGAGCTATACTGCACATCATTCGACGCCGACATACCCGGACATCTCGAAATCAATCTTCAAGCCTCAATGCCCAGTCTGTCTGACCCGCTGCAATGTTCACATCCTGAAGCACGCAGGACAACAGGATGCTCTTGCTCTCTCACTAGATTCGCTTGACATTGATGTGTGCTGTGTCTCACAAACAAGAATTCAAGATGCAATCGCAGTGGTTGAGATAACCGCCTCATCAATTTCCACTCGCTTCCGGATGCGCACACCTAGGGATTCAGGGGTTGCTTTGGCAGGATGTGTCCTAAGTCACCAGAAGGACGCTTGCTTGACTGGATACCCGCTGAAAACCGCCTCTGCACGGTTTGTCTAGTAACGGCTGTGAAGGAGTCTCGATGTCTGTTTGTCGTGTCTGCTGACGCCTCCACTGAATGTAGCTCTGATACCTTCAAAGACAAGTTTTATAACGCCCTGAATGCCCTGTTGCGGTGAGCTAAAAGCTCAGATATCGCTGTGGTTGCCGGAGATATGAGTACAAAAGTGAAATGGCTTGGCGCATCTGAGTTTAAACTAGGTGGTTGACATGGATTGGGCTCGATACATAGGGACAATCGTGCACGACTGCTTCAGCCATGTGCTGACCGCAGGCTGTTTTTATACAGCACTAACTTCCGAAATACCCGAAGTCTTCTACGGCGTGCCGACCACAAACTCAAATCGATCGCACTGCCGATGGCGCGGATCAATACCTGACTGCCGTTCGCTTTGGAACACATTTGTGGATTCCGACCACACACTCGTCCGGAGCTGCTTTTCCCTTCGTTTTCCAGGGCCGCCTAAAATGTGCAAAAATCGTCTGGCAACTAAGAGGCTGACAGATATAGGAGTTAGACGAATGTACCAAGATCGTCTTCTAGAGTCTCCTAAGAATGCTCCATCATCAGAGCTGAATTGATACTGGGACGAATTCACCATATCTTTGAACAGTTCTAGGGGTTTTGCCTGTGATACGGTGCTACCAGGCTCACTCAAGCACTAGATATCAGACCGAACAGTTGCACTACTTAAACCTCGGAGATATATCCCAATCGGTCTAGGAATTAACCTGACGCGACGAATAAACAGAGGTCAGGTGAAAGTGAGCGTGCGAGCCGACCGTGAAGTCTGGTGCGCACGTGAGACGTCTAGAATGTATCTGAGAACGAGTTAAATCAGAGTCCGGGTTATCGAGGATGAACAACATTTTACTTGTTTAAGAAAGTTTTGATGAGCGGAAATGTACATAAAAACGTTCAATACGAGTATACAGGGTGAGTATACTAATAAGCACACAAAATCATGACATCCATCCCGGCATTGTTTGAATGGGTACATACGGGATGATGTACTGAGTCAGACTTCTCCGTGTTATATATTGACGTTGTGTTTAACTTTTTACTCGCTACTCGTTGAGCTAATTGTGTTTCCTAATGTTTTAGCTGATGTACTGAAATTGATAGAAGATTAAAGCCAATCATTCGGCAATCCTCGTTCTCTGTTTCTGGCACAATCATTCGAGTGCGCAACAATTTAATCTTCTATCAAAACACAATGGAACGATTGTTTCGCCCAGATCGGTTTGACGCCGATCCCCAATCCTCTTCTGCTTCAGAACAATGGATCCATTGGCACGAAACGTTTACGAACTTCCTCTCATGCATCGAACTCCCAAACGTTGACAAAAGAAAACTTTTGGTAAATTTCCTTTCTCCGTCCGTCTATCAACATGTTTGTGATTGTACTACTTACGAAGACGCCATCCAGACGCTCGAAAAGATGTACATTAAACCCAAAAATGAAGTGTTTTCCCGCCACGTGCTGGCTACTACCAAACAAGAACCGGGCCAATTAGTCGACGCGTTCCTGCAAAAATTACGTTACCTTGCCAAGGACTGCAATTTTCGTGCGGTTTCTGCCGATGAACATCGGGATGAGGCTATTCGAGACGCTTTTATCACAGGCTTGCAGTCTAATTCCGTTCGCCAACGACTACTAGAAAAACACACTCTTAAGCTTCAACAAGCTTTTGACGAGGCACGTCTGCTTGAACATGCTCAACAACAGTCACTCTCATACGACTCGTCTTCTCATGTTCCCTGTGGCGCCGCATCTATCAAAACTGATAAGCCTCTTACTCCTGTTCGTGATGCTTTTATCTCTCAGATGGAATCTAGTGACACGATTGCAAGCACATCCTTATCTTGCTTCTTCTGTGGCAACGGTAAGCACATTCGTTCAAAATGCCCGGCTCGTGAGTCTTTCTGTCATTCTTGCGGCAAGAAAGGTCATTTCCAAAAAGTTTGTCGATCCAAACTGGGTTCAAGCCGTATCACATCGACGGTGAACCCTGGTGTCTCATCCATTTTCAACATCTCTTCATCCATGGGACTTTCCAAATCAATCGTTGATGTTATAGTGAATAATATCCCACTTCACGCACTTATCGATACTGGTAGTTGCGAAAGTTATATTTCTTCTGACATCGCACTAAAGCATGGTTGGACAATAACATCCTCTAAGAGCGCTATCTCGATGGCTTCAACGAACTTATCGTGTGTTACTAGCGGTCATCTTTATGCTACCGTTCTGTACAAAAGCACACTATACGAAAGTGTCAAACTCTCGCTCTTATCCAATTTGTGTTCAGACGTCATCCTTGGCTTGGATTTCCTCAGTCAACACCAAAGTGTCATCATACCATTCACGGGTAAGCGGCCCCCATTCGCCATATGCACATTGAAAGCAGCGAGAGTTAACGCCCCCTCTTTGTTTGATAATCTCGCCCCTGGATGTACTCCAATTGCCACTAAATCTCGTCGTTTCTCTCGCACGGATACGGTATTTATCGAGACGGAGGTTCGGAAGTTACTAGCTGACAAAATTATTGAGCCGTCTAACTCTCCTTGGCGCGCTCAGGTTCTCGTTACTACGAATGACAGGCATAAGAAGCGCATGGTCATCGATTACAGTCAAACCATAAATCGCTTCACTTACCTTGATGCGTATCCTCTGCCGAAGGTGGACGAACTTGTAGAGAAGGTTTCCCATTACACGGTGTTTAGCACACTAGACCTTCAAAGTGCGTACCACCAGATCCCCATTCTCGACAAAGACAAGCCATATACTGCATTCGAGGCATGTGGTAAACTCTTTCAATTTCGCCGCATTCCGTTCGGAGTTACTAATGGTGTGGCCTGCTTTCAACGCACCATAGACAACATCATACGCGAGGAAAATCTGCTCGATACATTCGCATATGTTGACAATGTTACCGTGTGTGGTCGCGATGCCCAGGAACATGATCGAAATTTGAAGAAATTCTTAGAGGCCTCAAAACGTCACGGTATTACATTTAACCAGAAAAAGAGCATCATAGCTACTGCGAAAGTACTATTACTGGGATACGAAATATCTCATGGTATGATAAAACCGGATCCTGAACGTTTTCGAGCCCTACGGGAGTTGCCTCATCCATGTGACATCCGTTCACAACGAAGATTGGTCGGAATGCTGGCATACTACGCACACTGGATCCCATGTTTCTCAGATAAGATTCATCAAATCGTCCGCAATCAGATCTTCCCGATTCCAGATAGCGTACAAGCGGCACTGAATAAGCTCAAACACGATTTGGAAAAGGCAGCCGTTTTCACCATAGACTACACTCGTCCACTCGTTGTGGAAACTGATGCTTCCGACATAGCCATTGCGGCCACTCTCAATCAAGACGGGCGCCCGGTAGCTTTCTTTTCACGCACTCTGTCACACAGTGAGCGGCATCATTCAGCAATCGAAAAAGAAGCGTACGCGATTGTTGAAGCTCTGAGAAAGTGGAGACACTACCTGATCGGCAATCACTTCACACTTGTCACGGACCAACGATCAGTCGCCTTTATGTACGACAAACAACACAAAGGCAAAGTAAAAAACGACAAAATCCAGAGATGGAGACTTGAACTGTCCTGTTTTCATTACGATGTCCAGTACCGTCCAGGTAATCAGAATAAAGCCGCTGACGCACTATCGCGGGCTGATTACGTATCTGCGATGTCACAGGTGGATCTCAAACATCTTCATAATACATTATGTCACCCCGGTATCACGCGGATGCTTCATTTCGTTCGCTCAAAAAATTTGCCGTTTTCGACCGATGATGTTAAGGCGATTACAAATCAGTGTAGTATTTGTTCAGAATTGAAGCCTCGTTTCCTCAATCACCCTTTTGGCAATCTTATTAAAGCTACACAGCCGTTTGAACGCGTCAGCATAGATTTTAAAGGCCCACTTCCATCGACCTCCCACAACAAATACCTTCTAACAATGATCGACGAGTACTCTCGTTTCCCATTCTCCTTCGCGTGTACGGATGTGTCCTCATCCACCGTGATCAAGTGTTTTAATCAGTTGTTCTCTTTGTTCGGAATGCCCTCATACGTCCATTCTGATCGTGGTGGAGCTTTCATGTCAGGTGAAGTACAAACGTTTCTTCACGACAGGGGTGTAGCAACCAGTCGAACTACCCCATACAATCCGCGCGATAACGGACAAGTTGAACGGCTTAACGGTACTCTCTGGCGTTGAAGACCCAACAACGGGACATTACCGAGTGGGAATGTGTGCTTCTAGATGCTTTGCACTCTGTTCGCTCCTTATTGTGCACCGCTACTAACACGACACCACATGAAAGATTCCTTAACTTCCACCGGAAGTCAACGTACGGCACCTCTCTTCCGACTTGGTTATCGACTCCAGGCCCCGTTCTGTTAAAAAGGATGACACGTTCTTCCAAATACGATCCGTTAGTGGAAGAGGTGGAACTTGTTAATTGTAACCCGCAGTATGCCTGCGTTCGTTTCCTGAACGGAAAGGAAGAAACTGTTTCTCTTAGACATCTGGCACCCAAAGCACAGACAATATCAGATGTCTATTTATCTGAATCAATCGAAAGTGCAGGGCTCCTCCAGATCTGGCACAATCATTCGAGTGCGCAACACTCCGTTCGTCAAACCGTGTGAATGAACGCGTCGCTGTTCTAGAATTTCAGAATAACTCGGTTGATCCTCGGAAGACAGTACAGAAGAGGGTTCAGACGCTTGAGAGCTATCGGACTGACGTCCGGTTTCTGGGATTTCGGCGTCCCCACTGGATTAAGAAAGATTGAGAACGTCGAGTTATATTACGAAAGGTTGGAGCTAGACGGCGAAGGGACACGGCTTCGAATTTTCCGTCTCGATGAATATGTGTGCGTAGTGTGTGTTGATTTCTTCTACTAGTGGTTGATACTTGGGTGACCTATCACCTCGTCGCAGTAGAACTGGACCACAGGTGGTCAACCAAGATGGCAAAGATACTCCAAATGTTGAGCAACGCGAGTATTGAAACAAACGTTCGTGTGGAGTAGTTAGTGGCTGCACTCGAAGGCTGTGTAGAGCATCAGGGAGTACCGAATCCCAACGGGAAGACGGAAGATTGTGATATTTCAACGCCAAGCTTATTGTTTTCCAGAGGGTGCCGTTGAGACACTCAACCTAACCGTCACGCTATGGATTATAAGCCGATGTGTGACTCGTAGCAACATATTTTTCCAGAAGAAAGCTATTGATCTTACACGACATGAACAATGAGCCTCTGTCGGAATGGATATAGGCTGGCATTACGAACAAACAGATTTGTATGAGACAGTCAATCACAGTTGCTGAGGTCATACCCGCAGAAGGAAATACAAACGCGAAGTAAGTAGCGGTTATGTGTATTGGATGGCAAAGAACATTTATGATCCGAACTCAGGGGCTCAAAAGATTATGTCACCTTAATGAGTCTACCAGTGGATTTTTAGAATCTTGGCTTCAGTTTGGCACACATTGCAGGAAGAAATAACGCACTTGACATCGTCGGCGAAGCAAGGGGGACTCTTGC